TCTGTACGTAGCTGTTACATGTAGGGCAATCTGTAAGCAGGGGTAAATTGCTCTCCAAGAAATGAAGCCTCGATAGTTTTCCCTTCAAGTCAAGCGTCTTGTTGTTTAAATTAACTTCTTGTTTAAAATTTTTTTTAAAAATTTCACATACTTTATTTGCACGATTCCCACCATTTAAGGAGACTTTGTGGTACAGTGGTTATGCACTGAACTACTAACTTCAAGATCAGCAGTTTGAAACTATCAACTGCTCCAAGGGGGAAAGACAAGGCTTTCTACTCCTGTCAAGAGTTACAAACTGAGAATCCCCCAGGGGCACAATGCTTTTATTTAATTTATATATATATGGGCACAATGCTTTTATTTAATTTATATATATATATGCATTGACTCCATAGCAGTGAGTTTGAACTCTTAATTTTACACTGTATTTGCATGGTCCCACCCAGCCATTTAAGGAGCCCTGATGTTATAGTAGGATATGTGTTGGGTTGCTAACTCTAAAGTCTATAGTTCAAATCCACCACCTGTTTCACAGAAGAAAGATGAGGATTTCTGATCTCATAAAGATTTATAGTCTTAGAAAACCAAAGGGGCAATTTTACTCTGTACTGGCAGGCTGCTATGAGTGAAAATGACTAGATAGTAGTGGGTGGTTTTACAGTCATTTGGTAAGCGATACAAAGAGTATCGCTAGAAGATTCATAGGAAGGAACAGTTTATCAAGGTAATAAACAAGGAAAGCAGTATATGTTAAAATTAAAGTTGGTAGAAACACTCAGTCCAGGAACTTACTTTTTTCCCTTCCAAAGAAAATAGATATTCTCCCAATTAAAAATAATGCATTGTCATTTTAGTGGATTCAAATGGTATAAAGGATTATAAAATTGTACATGTATAAATCACCCAAATATTATCACATTAAAAATAACTGTCATTAGCAATTCATGTTGTTGTGTTTAGGTGCCATAGAATCAGTTTCAACTCCTAGCTACACCCTATATACAAGAGTGGGACACTGCCTGGTCCTGCACCAGCCTCACAATTGTTCTTATGTTTGAGTCCATGGCTCCAACCTTTGTATCAATGCATCTTGTCAAGGGCCTTCCTCTTTAATCCTGGCCCCTCTACTTTACCAAGCATGGTGTCCTTCTTCAGGGACTGGTCTGTCTCACATATCCAAAGTACATAAGACAAAGTCTCACTATTCTTACCTCTAAGGAACATTCTGGCTCACTTCTTCTAAATATATGTTGCATCCTTGATTTCAACACTTGAAGGAGGGCTGGTACAGCAGATTTACCCAATGCCATGTGTCTCTTGATGGCTGTTAGTCTGGATTGCTGCTTCCATGAGCACTGATTGTGGGTCTACGCAAGATGAACTCCTAGACAACTTCAATCTTTTCTCCATTTATCATGCCTTTACCTGTTGGTCAAATTGTGAGGACTTTGGCTTCCTTTATTTACATTGAGTGTAAACCATACTGAAAACTGAAATCCATCAGCAAGTGCTTCAAGTCCTCCTTGTTTTCAACAAACAAGATTGTGTCATCAGTATATCGCAGGTTGCTAATATGACCTCCTCCAATCCTGATGTCACATTCTTCCTCATATAAACCAGCTTCTCTGATGATTTGCTCAGCATAAAGATTGAATATAATGAGAGGCTACAATCCTGACACACACCTTTCCTGGTTTAAGTCATGCAGCATTCCCTTGGCTCATGACAATCCTATAGGACTGAGAACATCTGCTCACGTGGGTTTCTGAGACTGCGGCTGTTTACAAGAATAGAAAACTTCATCTTTCTCCCAAGGAGTGGCTGATGGGTTCAAACTGCTGATCTTGCAGTTAGCAGCCCAATGTGTATGTAACCCCCTGCGTCACCAGGGCTCCTTTTTTATTAGCAATTCACAGCAACCCTATGTAGGATTTGCTATGAGTCAGAATCAACTCAATGAAAGTGGTGTACGTCATTTACAAGACTTGTCTTTCTCCCTTGCAGAAACAGAGGCAAGAACTAGAAAGTAAAAACTATGTAGAGAGGTATAAATATAGACATGCATATGTGTTAATATATTAATATATAAAGACAGGGGTATTGGTCTATGTGCATATATTTATATGTTAATGCATTAAGGTAGCAGACACTTCGGGCCTCCACTCAAGTCTTCCTCAACACAAGATACTTTGTTCAATAATGTGACACTGTGTGACACTCACCTTCCCGACATGATCGCTGAAGACAAAACAGGTGCATAAGCAAATGTGGTGAAGAAAATGGATGGTGCCTGGCTATTAGAAGATACAGCATCTGGGGTCTTAAAAGGCTTGAAGTCAAGTAAGCGGCCATCTAGCAGGGAAACAACTAAGCCAACATGTAAGAAGCACCCCAGCCTGTGCGATCATGAGGTGTCAATGGGAATAGGTCTCAGAAGTTCAAAAACAATCACATGGATGTGAAGGAGAGGGGTCAGAGTGGAAACCCAAAGCCCATCTGTTGATAATCAGACATTCCCTCACAGAAGGGCCACTAAACACACAACATTCCTCTAGTTCTTTAATATTTCCTCCTCCAACTATTATGGCCTCATTTCTCACAAATTCTGCTAGACTGGCGTTTGTACATTGGTACACATAAGAGCTTTTGATAGATAGAATCCAGTTTAGATAAACCACTCAGAAACAGTAATGGGAGAAACAACTCCATGAGGGTATGGCGGGTGAGAGGGATGTTAAGGGGGAGGAAAGAATTGATAGAGTGATGGCTGTATAACCCCCCTCTAGGGGGACGAATAACAGGATTGTAGGTGAAGGGATACATCAGACGGTGTAAAATATGGAGAAAAAAAAATATATATATATATATCTTAAGGGTCATGAGGGTGGTAAGGTGGGGAAGGGAGAGAATAAAGAAGAGCTGATATCAAAGGGCTCAAGAAGAAAGATAATGTTTTGAAAATGATGATGGCCAGCATCTGCACAAGTTCACTTAATATAACTGATTTATGAATTTTATATCTGTAAGAGCACCCAATAAAATGATTTTTTAAGGAAAAAAAATTCTTCCAAAGAATGAATGGGTTTATTTCTGTATATTTAAAGGCACAGATGTCTACACACATGATAAGGCTTCCAAAAGCTCATGGGAAAATGGACTTAAGAGATAATGATTTTTCCATGAATTTGTGAAGCCTGTTTGTACACAGATACATAGACATGTACATGGGTGGTGATATAAAATCTCTTAATAGGGTTCTTCTATCTCTGTAACTCCCACCAAATGACTGGGTGGGCCTAGGCAAATAAGGCACGTGAACAGTAATACAGGAAACTGGTCAGTTTTAGTTGCCATTCCCCTGCCTATAAAAGAGCTATCTTAGAAGTAGGAATATAGAGAATTCCCAGGACCATTAAGGAAGAAGAAAGAGCCATCATTAGAGCATGCGCGAAACACACCTGGAATCAGGGAGCCCACGACCAGAAGTCCCATACGCTGCTACACTGGAGGCCACGGGTCAGAGCAGAAGAACGATACCACTGAAACAGTGAGCCAGTACGATGGAGCCTCGGTGGGCTTCCTGACCCATGCTGGCAAAAGCTAAAAGACCACTTAGTTGAAAAGGCTGAGGACCAGAGAGAGAAGCTTGAGTGCTGGTTAAGGAGAGGCGCTGCTGTGGACCCATGACTAGATCCTTCATGCTTTTGATGCTGACTCGTGGTAACCTGTTAACATCCTTAAGAAAGTCCCTTAAGTAGGAGTATTGCCTGTGAGTTCTGCAATCAATTAAACCAGCAGAGAAGCAGGCTGTTGAGGGAGGAACGGGTGGTGTCAAAATAGGTAAAGAAGAATAGAGGAGGGACTGACCTCTGCCTTGTAGCAACTGACTTTGGGCTGCTGTGGAGACAGTCTGCTTCTCCCTATCCCAGCAGGAAGAGGTTAGATGCGGCCTCCATGCCACTTTCACAATGCGTATCAGCCAAAAGAGCAAGCTCAGTGCCATCAAGTCAATTCTGGCTTATAGAAACCCTGTAGGATAGCCTAGAACTGCCCCAATGGGTTTCCAAAGCTATATTCGTAACAGAAATAGAAAACATCTTTCTCTAACAGAGCGGCTGACAGATTCAAACTGACAACCATTCACTTCTCAGCTGAGTGCTTCATCACTACACCATTAAAGAAAATGCAAAGGCAGTGTACAAACCATTTATATTTTTATACCCAAGAATATGTTTATCTTCATAAATTCTGGACTTTCAACATATGTAAAAGACAAGAATATATGTATGCACATAGATTAACTTAATATATAGTTATTTCTTTTACATATATTAAAGATATAGAAATGATTATAAGGATTTCCTGGAAATAAAAGTAAACAAAATTTCAAGCATTCATTCTGCTTCTGCATAGTCATTTTAAACAGTTCAGGTTGGGGGTGATTTGTAATGTGAAGTCTTTGTACAAACGTGTGTGTGTGTGTGTGTGTGTGTGTGTGTGTGTGTGTGTTTCTCTGTGTCATGGTTGACCGCTTGAAGGGAGCC